CTCCTGAAATTTCTGCTTAATTGTAAGAGAGCAATTGAGTATGATTCCAGCAACTTACGAAGCAATACTTCATATGCTGGAACAGTCAACCTTACTGCGAGTGAGAAATTAGAGGAAGATGGCCATGAGGATGAAAGTAATACGGAGCAGCAGAAGAAAACCATTACCTCACAAAACGAGTGCCTATTTCATCCCAATAGTGGTAATTGGACAGATATGTAACCTTTACTTTTCCAAGTCGCCTGAAGAGAGAATTAACCTGCTCAAGGACAAGTCAGCGTGTTGGTCATGCCTGAGAGTTGGTCATCGAGTAGCGGAATGCAAGAGAAAGAAAGCCTGCGGTGAAAATGGATGCAAAGGGACACATCACAAAACTATTCACATGGAACGAAAGAGTGGCTTTGCCGCTGCTTGTGGTGATATGACCAACAGTACTTGCCTCTTACAGATCCAAAGAATCAAAAACAGCAAATTTAAAGGGTAGACCAACGTCTTGTGGGACAATGCAGCATCTGTTTGTCTTATTACGTACAGTAAAGCTAAAGAAGAGAAACTGCATGGCAAACAAGTTCAACTGTCGATCACCATGGTGGGTGGAATAGATGAGAAGCTTACATCGCACCTGTCCCGGGTCCCTCTGGTGAACCAATACGGCAAAACTGTGTTTATCAAAGCTTACGGGATAGAAAGAATCACATCGGACTTCCAAGCTGTCAATCTTGATGGTGTTGTTCATTTGTTCAAGGGCGTTAGTGCCGAAGAAGTCGCAAAACCGACTGGATCAGTCGACCTACTGATTGGCTACGAGTATGCAGGGTTTCATCCACAGCTAGAGAGACGAAACGGACATCTTCTGCTACTGAAAAACCAGTTTGGAAAATGCATTGGTGGCAAACACCCAAGCATCAAAGAAACTCACCCAACCAGTGAGTTGACTAGTGTCCGAGCCAATCATGTCAATGCCATTAATGTTGAGGACATCTACAACATTGAAGGTCTGGGGATAGCTTGCTCAGCATGCACGCTGTGGAGGTTGTAAATGTGGAACGTGGCCCAAGGGAAGCAATGATTACACCCTCAAAGAAGAGAAAGAACTGAAGCTGATCAAAAGCAAATTGACGTTTGACGACGAAGAGAAGAAATGGACCGCAGAATACCCGTGGACAAGAAATCCGCAAGAATTACCTGACAACAGAAGGGCAGCAACGAGAGATGCGAATGAAGAAGAGCCAAACCATGAAATGGAACAAAATAGTGAAATGGAACAAAACAATGAAATAACAAGTGATGTTGAAGAAAGACAAGTTGATGAGGAAAGACCACACGTTAATCAAGTTCATGAAAGTCATGAATCAAGAGAAGTGTAGGAAACACAGACAATTGTTAAAGTGAACAGTGAGGGTAGTCGAGCAAGTGAGAGGAACGAAATACCAAGAAGACAAGCAAAGAGAGTTGTTGAATCGAGTAACACTACGAGACAAATAGTTACGCAAGTTGGTGAGAAGAGGAAAGGCTGTCCTGATGTATGATGTGAGGGTACAAAACAAGCGGAGAGTTGTTCGGGCAGTCGGTAACACAAACCTCACTGCGGAACGCAACATCGGTGCAACGAGTGATTTTCTTATTACGAAAGTCATCAGAGCAAAGAATGATGGTGGTGCAAGAAATGATGAAAAGGCGAAGGAAAGTTCTGGCACCAGAATGAGCGCTGAGCAGAGAAATGAGGGTGATATGACCAGTAACACAACATAGATCACAAGGAAAGATGTTGCCGCCCACAGTAACAGTAACACCACACATGTTGACATAAGGAATGGCGACGTGCAAAATTCTGATGCAAGAAAGAGTCAGGAAGGTGGTGGAAAAACCTTGACGGACACATCAAGGAACAATGATGGCTCGAACGAGGCAATTCGTAAGATTTTGGAAGGAAAACCATTCATTTTCCCCGTGTGTGATAAAGGACACTCTAGTAGAAATGGTTTAAAACATCATTATAAGAAACATCAGAATGGCAGTGAGAACAAAACGTATTACTGCCATGAATGTAAGAAACGTTTTAAGACGAAGAGAAGTTCTGGTTGCATGATGTGAAAGTTCATGGACTCATTGAAACGTCGTTGGAAGAAAGTGATTCAGAAATGGTTGCAGGGCATGAAGAGAGAGTTGGAAGCACGTGGATAAATATGACAGACACAAGAACTGATGTAAGGAGTGGTGGAGATATAAGAGGTGATAGGATGGACTGGAGACTTGGTAGGGTCTCACAATTCAAGCCAGGAAACGATAGAAAGGTTAGGAACGTCGAAGTTCAGTACAAGAATCCAAAGAGTGGAGAACCCGTCAATAAGTATAGTGGTTAAGATTATGTCACAGTCCATCGATTAGTGGTAATTCTGCCTGCGGATCATGATGATAAGTGATGAAGAAAGGATAAGAAACTTAGGGACACACACTTGCAAAAACACTCTTATAGTCTTATTATGTTGAGTTACGTTGATTCTGATAGAACTTTGTTAATGCTGAGAACTTGTTAGCGTTATTAGAAGGTGGCAGTGTTTCGTTTAGTACGAAAGGTTAGCGAACGACGTTTGAGCGATGTGAAACGAGATTACGAAGTTTACGGAAGCGACTTTTGGTTGATGGAAAATATAAGGATTTTTGGACACCTTGTTTGATCGAGTGTTATAGACTTTAAGGAGCGATATTTATGAATTTGTAGCCGTTTAACTGCGAGGAGACCACCGGGTAATTAATTGCGTGTGACTTTCCGTTTATCTGCATTATTTTTGTATTTTGCATGTCTTTTTTATTGTAAAAATATGTGTAATTTTATATTCTTTAGATTTCGAAACTATGAAATGTACTTTGACATTCGTCGTTGTTGTTTCTGAAATGGCGGTTGAAAACGAACAAAGCGGCTAACAAAACAATAATTATTAAGAACGATTTCAATCATGTCAACACATAATCAACAATAGGCCTTTCCAAGGTTTCTACCGCCATATTGCAGGGGGTGCAAAAACATTGGGGCGAGCGCGCGGCCACCAATGGCGCCCATACTATTTCCTATTGAGTGAGTGAAAATTACCTTTTGACATTTTGTCCTTTTTCTCAAAAAATTTCTATACAAGCATATTCAATTTTTATTTTTAGATAATCGCTGGGTTTTTTCCGATATGTGGCGAGATTTCTTGCTTATCGAAGGACAGGAAGTAATAAAAAACGGCGGCTTTTGTTGCACAACTTGACCGACGTTTGAGCGATGATTCTTGTTATTTCGTTTGTTTAACCAATCTTTGGAAGAATATTTGTCCATTAACTGTGTAAGTCCTTTGGTGTCCGCTATTATTACTGTTTATATTTGTATATTTGTACAAAAATCATCGCTCAAATGTCGGTCAAGTTGTACAATAAAAGCCGCCGTTTTTTATTACTTCCTATCCTTCGATTGGCAAGAAATCTCGGCCACATATCAGAAAAAACCCAGAGATTATCTAAAAATAAAAATTGGATATGCTTGTATAGAATTTTTTTGAGAAAAAGGACAAAATGTCAAAAGGTAATTTTCACTCACTCAATAGGAAATAGTATGGGCGCCATTGGTGGCCGCACGCTCGCCCCAATGTTTTTGCACCCCCTGCAATATGGCGGTAGAAACCTTGGAAAGGCCTATTGCGTAACTATTGTACTGTTGAACACGGTGTTTTATACACTCTAATGCTACGGCTAGCATTCGTTAAAAATTCACTACGTTTGTTAGTAATGTGTTAAACTTTATAAACGTGGTATCAACTACAGACCACTACGTCTACGCCTGGCACTCTGAATGTAATTCAATACGCTATGCCTATGGTGACCTATGGTATTACAGTCGTGCCAATAGAAGCGTTCCGGAAAATGTTGACCAATTCATTTCCTAACTTGAAGGAACACCTCTGAACAATTCCTCAACAATTTGATAAGTTCCAAAAGTTCCTAACTTCCTGTTTCATTGACCAATCAGATTGCTCAAAAATAAAATATAAAATTTGATTGGTCAATGAAACAGGAAGTTAGAAACTTTTTAAGGAACTTATCAAATTGTTGAGGAATTGTTCAGAGGTGTTCCTTCAAGTTAGGAAATGAATTGGTCAACATTTTTCGGAACGCTTCTATTGGCACGACTGTAATATAGCGTTTAATCATAGTTAATATAGAAGACCGGGTTTGGAAGGCCGGCAAACTTCAAAGCAACACGTGATCAAATGGGATACCATGTTACAAAGTACGTCACGTGACAGCTTATAGTGCATTCGAGCTGCAATTCATAGTAGAAACTTATAGAAAATAGAGGGATCTTTGTCTAAAATCACCATTTGCTCGTCTCATACGAGGTCTATGGAGCCATGCGGCATTGAATACATGGAGATGGACGAAGAGAGTTCTTTGCCATTTTATGAAGGCAATGGAGCCTATAGTTCGGGTTTTGAAGACGATTTTGATCAAACTCTTGCTAATGCTTGATATGGACTTCGAGGTGGTGATGATCGAGGTTCAAAATTCTCATGAAGAGGTGAGTTAAATATCAAAATAACTTATAAAAGTAAGCCGTGCCTTTTCAATAACCTCACCTATAATTTAACTTGAATCTAGGTTGAAGGAAATA